CTTAAAACTTTGCAAAAGTTTGGCAACTTTTCTGAATTAGATTTATGGAAGTCCTATGTTGAGCTGGAAATAGTGAGATCTGCACGTTTAATCCTTTTGCTGCCCCCATTCAGTTTATAACCTTTAACAAATCATTTCAGCCCAGTTTTTGTTCTTTTCCTCAAATGATGAACTTGGTTTCATGGTCACTGCTTGCTGAAGGACAGTCACATGAGTGATTCAAAGCAAGGCCGGCTCTCAAAAGAGCCACCAATTCTGTGTCAAGGCATCCACCTTTGTTCTAATCGGAATGGGAAGATAGAGAGCTCCAAGACTAAACTCCACTTTGCACTTCGTCTGACTGGCTCTTGAACCTCAGACACTTCTCTCTGCTTTACTTTCAATGTAAAAGCCAAGAAAAGCAAGGATTTGAACTGCAGAGTAATGCTCACTATAGGTGTTCACAGGCTTTGCCAGTGTTGCTTTTTGTTAGGAGTAAAGAGGTGTTGCTAGGGTGCAAGAGGAAATCGTCGTTGCTTTTACCTTCATTAGGGTGTTGTCATTTAGGATGTTAATGTTGTGTGGATTTTACCTCACACGTTAAAACTTAGAAGGTAAAAGAGCAAAGAGCCAGAAGGAAATAACAAAGCACATTTTCCTGAATATCTGTCCCTGTTTTCTGTTCAGTTTTCAAAACATTGTTTTCTCCCGAGCCTGCTTCCTTTTGAACTTCAGTACAGAAGATCATTATAGGCCGGCCATGGTGGCACACACCTGTAACCCCAACACTTGGGAGCTGGGAGGCTGGAGTAGGGGGATGGCAAGATTGTGGCCGGCCTTGTCTACAAAACAAAACCGTGTCTCAAAAACAACAACAAAAGTTCATTCTTAGATTGTTCTCAGTTTGCAGGTAGAGATGCTGTCAAATAGGCCAGGAGCAGTACTGCCAGCTCAGTATAGTGTGGCTTCCTTTCACCGGGGCAGGTAGGCTGAGATCTCAGCCAGTTACCCTTTCTAAAGCTGCATCGCCTTCCTTCTGAGGCATTTCCAAGGTATGGATGCTCATGTCTAAAAATTTCCTGCACTGCTGACTAAAAAAAGATAAACACCCAACTACAGCAGTAGCAATGCACTCAAGCCGGATAATTGGAATGCACGTGCTCTTTGAGAGACACCGAATCTTCACCCTTCCCTTGCTAGTTGCATTTCTCACCTGCTCATGTGGTGCCCGCCTGTGGCTGGCTGGCATCCCCACTGTCTGCAGATGGGAGGTTTCCCAGTTCAGAATGCAGCCTGCTCTTCCATGGTGGAACTCTCCAGGACTGTGTGGGGTTCTGCAGTGTGTAGTCCTAGTGTGTGCCACTGTTCTCCTGCTTATGTTCTTCCGTAACTTTCCCCACGCCCCTCTCCAGATTTCTGCATGGCTTTTATAGCCTCTAGTAATTGCATCAGCAGTAAAGAATCTATTTTTACCTCTTTTGAGTATGTGCAACACAAATGGGAAATACTATAAAATTTTGTTTAGCATGTACCTTGCACACATGGTTTTGAAAAATGTGATGCAGCATTCAGAGAAATGTCCCATTTTGCTCTGAGACAGGTGAGAAATGGAAAGCCAAACTTTACCACTTAGCTGCATGAACTTTCCTTATGTCCCTTATCGTCTTACAGTTTTATTTTCTTCTGAAAAGTGGAATCCTACTGCCTACTCATCAGGTGGCGGTGCAATATCTAATTTAGCACCTGGGTTGCCCCGTTTACACAGCAGGAACCCCCCAAGTCTTAAATTATATGTTTCATGCTTAAATGTCATGACCTTTCAGTGCCCTATACCACATTTAAAAACAGAGTAAGAATAAAATCTTACCATCTTAGTGTGACTAAATTATCATAGGATTCAGTCTCAGAATTATTATGTGAGAAAATTATACACAATCCCATCACTGAATAATAATATTCACAAATAATAATAATAAACAATCACCTGTCATTTATTAAGCACTTACTATGTACTGAGCTCTAGGTACTTTACATCTAATTTTCACAAGCACCCATGGATAGATACTATGTAGAGTCTCCACTTAAAGGTGTACACCGAAGTAGGTTAAATAGCTCATCAAAAGTGACAAATATAAAAGTTAGGAAGTTAGAATTCAATTTAAGTAGCTTGATCCTAGAACTTAAAGAAAAATAAAGCAAATTCTTAGCTTCTCCAGCCTCTAGTGTGAAGTTGTTTCCTCTCTTTGCACTTCCTTTCTGGAGGTGGCCCCTTCAGGAGGCCAAATGGGCAAATAGGCAGACAGAAGGGCAGATCAAGCTGGAATCTGTCTCTTAGCTATTACTTAAGGTCGTCCTGCTTCAAGTGATAAAATGGCCTCCTTGTGTTCTGGAGGACTAATGCAGTACAGCATTTTCTGTCTCCTTGGTTTACCTTTAATTGAATGTAGTTGAGGAGAATCCAGCAAGTTATGAGAAAATGTGGAGTTTTTTTTCCCCCTCAGGTCAAAAGTTCTGTTTTAGTCATGAAGAATAACCAAGATGGGAATGAGTAGGGGATATGGCAACAAATAACAACAAAACATAAACAGCATTTTTTTGGACATAAACAAAATCCAGGGATCAAAGAATGACTATATAGGGGCAAGTTCAACGAATAAAAAAAAAAAGAATGTATTTTATGGGTAAGATAATGAGAACAAGTTATGTATGTTTTCTCCACTTTTTTTTTTTTTTTTGGTACCGGGGATTGAACTCGGGTCCTTGCCCTTGCAAGGCAAGGCCACCGAACCGCTGAGCTAGATCCCCGGCCCTGCTTTCTCCACTTTTTATAAGCTACTTATAAATTATTCCTGCCATTGCTGCATTGTTATTATCTTTGAGAGATGAAGAGACCATACAGTGGGACTCTGTTTTTTGTGTGATGAAAAATATTACTGACTGGCTTCTAAGCAGCCAGAAAAAGGCCCACATGTAAAACAGAAAAAGGGTCTGAAGAGCTGAGGGTAGGACACTTAGAGAGGTCTGATAACTTCTAAATAGCAAAGTGCCCCAATATTTTATCAATTTTTTAAATTACCTTTCCAAAATTGACAGTTATTAAACAATCCTTCATCTTGGGTATGGTGCCCTTGGGAGTTACAAATAAACTCATATGTGAAAAATGTTAAGAGAGAAAAGAAAGGGGATAGATTGATTAATGGTCACCAACTTTCAGTTTCTCACACCAGAGAAACTATTCGGTATTTACACACGTGTGTCCTATTTATATCACTTGAGAGTATCTCCTCAGTGTGCATAGCTGAAAGCATAAAAAAGTGTGAAAAGGTATATAATAGATAATGTGAAAAAGTAAGAAAAGGGACGAAGAGGAAGAGGAAGTGGAGGGGTGACGAAAGGAAAGAAGGGAATGGAATTAATATGAGAAAATGAAAAATAATGGAAACAAGGTCTTTGTGGACAGGGAGAGGGGGATGGAAGGGAGAACGGAGGAATGGGAAAAATAAGAACCAAGACAGATTATGTAAAGGTACAAACATCCAATAATGAACGTCATTATAGTGTATACATTAAGTGTACCAATAAAATGAATTTTTAAAAATGGCCATCAAAATACCCTGGAATCCAGAATACCATGGTAATAGCACCAGGCACCAGATGGACAGATATCCATCCAGTCCCGAGCTTGCTGAAGATGGTGTTGATGCCTGTGTGTGTGTGTGTGTGTGTGTGTGTGTGTGAAATATGTTCGTGAAAACAGAATTGTGAAGACAAAATTCTAAATGGCTACCTTGTTCATTTACTGAGGTGAGGAAAGAAAGAAGAGAGAAAAGGAAAAGGAAGAGCAAAAAGAGAAAAAAACATGATTAGGATTAGTTCTCCTTTAGCCCTGACGTAAGGCCTATTCGGGTAGATGGAAGAATTTGGTGCAAGAGTGAATGATCGGAAGCTATCACCTGAGTGGTTGAAATGTCACAGTGTGAGCATGTCTAGGTGTTTCTGAGACCGGTGGGCTGTCAACTAGGGATTCCCACGCTTGCTTGCCTGTGTTAGAACATGAGCATTTACTTTTAGGACGAGTAGGAAGAGGAAAAGGGAAGGAGGGAAACGCAATGTGTAGAGAGTATCCCCACATGTTCTACCTCCTCTGAAAAACGGTTGTAGCAAAATCTACTAAAAAGCAAAAATGTGGGCACACTTTAAATTTATTTCGGATGAGTTCAATTTAATACCTTTCTGAGACACAGAGCGTTGACCCAGCAGAGCGCCCAGTCACTGTAGTTCTGTAATGTAGTCCCCAATACACAGAGTTCTATGAATACTGCCTAAAGTGACCTTACATTTGCTACTCAAGTAAGGGCATTTAGGAATTTTATCAGGTTCTGACATATACTTCTAAATATTTCTATTTTCAATTGTTTTTTCCAGAAAGGGGTGCTTTAAACATTTTTGCTTTGGTTGGATAACATTGTCTCTGTTGGGGGCTGAAGAAACTGGAAGCTCTGGCGGGAGGAAGAAAGATCTTGGTTTGCAACTGAGAGCAAAAGGTACCACCTGAGCACTTTCTGTGAGGCTAGGATGCTTCCTTTAGATTAATGTACATGCGTAATCAGCTTAACTAAGCAGGTAAGGTGTTCACTAGGCTGGGTTTTCAAAGAGAGAGACAGGGAGAGCAAGAGGGAGAGAGAGAATGAATGTGGAAGAGTGAGAAGAACAAACAAGTCAAAGCATTTGTTCGTGCTGCAATCTACACATCAATTATCCTGCTGTGCTAATTACCACCTTTCCATACCCCAGGTACCTAAGCATTCACACTTCCTCACTCTTTCAAGCCTCTGATCAAAAAAAGAAAAGAGGAAAGAAATGATAGAAGCAGGGGATGATGAACCTAGAGGTGAAATACATTCTCAGATCAAAATTTCCTTTACATACGAAAGTATAAATAAGGGGTCTTCTCTTGTTTGCTATTGTTGTTTTAGACAATTAAACATTTGCAAATGTCTTAATTGCAAAATATTACTTACTGTCAGGCTTCCAGGAACGCTCCCATCTAGACAGCCCTTGTTGTGATATTTAAAAGAAGACAGAGGTGAGAATTGCTGGTCTTGCCTGAGATTTTGGGGTTGCACCATTAGGATGAGGTCAGATCATTAAAAGTCAGTGACTACTAATTATCAGGCTACTTTTCTGAGACTGTTCAGGAATTGGTCAGCGAGGAGGCCAAGAGCTACCTTTGTATCGAAACCTTGG